TTGATTTCTGGAGTAGAGTGCTGTAGGGTCATAGCTCACAACAACCTCAAACTCTTGGACTCTGGCAAGGCATGGTGGCTTAAGCCTATAATCCTAGCACTCTGGGAGGCTGAGACGGGTGGATTGCTTGAGCTCACTAGTTCAAGACCAGCTTAAGCAAGAGTGAGACCTTGTCTGTACTAAAAACAGAAAAACTGAGGCAAGAGGATTGCTTGAGCCCAAGAATTTGAGGTTTCTGTGAGCTATGATGCCATAGCACTCTACCCAGGGTGACAGCTTGAGATTCTGTCCCAAGAAAAATAAAAAACTTGGGCTCAAGTCATCCTCCTGCTGAAGTAGCTAGGACTACAGCTGCCCACCACAGCACCTGGCTATTTTTAGAGATGGGAGTCTCTGTTGCTCAGGCTGGTCTTTAACTCAAGCAACCCACCAGCCTTGGCCTCCCAGAGTGCTGGGATTATAGGCATAAGCCACCAAGCCCTGCCAATTGGTGTTTTTTAATTTGATTTTTGTTTTATTTAATTTTAATTTTATTTTATTGTTTAAGGTTCATAAAGAGTGCAAAGAATTAGGTTCCAATGTTTGAATTTGTTAGGTAAACTCCCTCTTATAATTGGGTTTCACCCCCAAGAGGTGTGCCATACACTGTAAGTTGACATCCTCTTCCTTGCTCCCCTTCCCCTGCTCCCTAGTTCCTCCGCCCCCCCACCTTGAATTAATTTGAGTTTCTCTCTTACGTGAGCATGTTGTGTATTAGATCGTCTACTGGGTTCATATTAGAATCGAGTACGTTGGATTCTTTTTTTTTGCAGTTTTTGGCCGGGACCGGGTTTGAACCCGCCACCTCTGGTATATGGGGCTGGTGCCCTATTCCTTTGAGCCACAGGCGCCACCCAGTATGTTGGATTCTTGCTTCTCCATTCTTGTGATAGTTATTATTTTGTTGTTGTTGTTGAAAGGGCAGCACTCGACTGGCAGAGATCTCACAGACCACCAAGGCTTATAGGAAAGGTCTTTATTGGTGAGGGCAGGATGCTGCAGAGCAGCACCAAGGAGGAGAGCAGAGAGAGAGAGAGAGAAGAGGGGGAGGAACTAAAAGAAAAGCACACTCTTATTTATTTTATTTT